CCCCCCCCGGGATGAGAGAAAATTCGGCGTTTTCTATGCGAAAGAGGAAATATCCTAGGTGCTGGCCCTGGGCACAGCCGGACCTTCACTTAATCTTCGGGTAAACTTATCGGCGCCCCATCCTCAGGGCACCCAAAGGCTGTGCCTGCGTGACAGCTTCCCTGCTTTTCCAGCCCTGTTAGCTGTGTAGGGGGAGACGTCGTCTCAACCTGCGCAGCTTGTCGTGCAAAGCTAAAATCGTACTTAGTCAGATACATAGATAATGACTTTTCTTTCTAATAAAGCTAGAAGCCTCCCCCTAAGAAAAATACAGTCAAGACTGGCAATATGTACAGGTTTCTTTAAAAAAAACAGGATGAAAAATATATGGGAAGTCATGTGGAAAATACAGATGTGTAATTTATGTTGTATAAAGCTAAAGCTTTGCTTTTTAAGGTTCAGATGTCTTGGGTCACTTGGTATGGAGGAAAGTAAAAGCCATTATTTGTCTAACAAGGAAAATAACCTGGACTATTACTGCTTAAGGCTATGAACTTGCAGTAAATTGAAATCGGCAAGACTGTTCATGAACTGTAAAATTAGGTGCATGCCTATGTTTTAACAGGATCAAGGTTTAAGACTATGATGCCTGAGAGCTAGATTGTGGCTAAACCTGAATAGCCACATACAGAAATTATGGAAAGTTGAGAGACTGCCTGTAACCCAGAAACACCCACAAGTTTACCCCACCCACAGATACCACGCTCACCCTTCTAAGCCTTTCTTGCAAATAGCAGATATTCATGCATTGGGTGGACATTTATGGACCTTTTGGCCCCATTAAAGTCAGTGGGCAAATGCTTTTGAATGCTACTCTTTGCTACTGCTTGTCGAATTGGTGGCTGCTACCGATTAGCTTGGCCTCCCTGGAGTTTTGTGGCTTGAGATTAGTGTTCAACCTCTGCCATAGGCAGATGGTATAAATATCATTTCATCCTGAGCCATGAGACCATACAAGGCTTTCTTTAAGTTTGCTATGCTGTCAAGTAAAAGACAGGACTGCTTCATTCATTGCTTGGACAAATTATATCTTTCCAAACTCAGACGAATGCAATGCTCATGCATGCTTTATTACCATAAGGCAAATAGACGTTTGCCTTCCTTGTTCTGAAATCTCAGCTACATTGCACATGCTCTTTTTGTAATATCATTCCTAAAGGCAGGCAGTATTTTTATTTTCATTCTTTTATAGAGCTTTGTAATATAATTAAATCACTGTCAAGAAAATAATCAGAAAAAAAGGGTTGAGGATGCCCATCTGCTTTTGCATTGCTTGATTCTTAGGGTAATGGAAATAGTATGTAAACAACATCTGGATTTCACTTTAGTAAGTGGAAGCACAGTGGTTTTCAATAGCTTAAGGGCTTGTTCTGTTCCTGACTCAGCTACTGATTTGATTTGTGACTTTGGGCAAGTCATAATGCAGTCTAGTTTAAAAAAGAGGCCTCCATTTTAGGGTGCTTGATTTCAGGCATTTGGGGCTTGATTTTGTGAGGGTCCAGACATTCACAGCTCCTATGAATTTCAGTGCAAGGTATGGGTGCTGCAAATCAGGCTGATGGTGTCTGCTTCTAAATAAATCGCGTTTTAGAAAGTGGACTTTGACACCTTGGGGCCTCTTTTATAGTGCATGTAATTTTTCTGAAAAAAACATAAGATTGAGGAAGTGTTTTGAGAGCCTTACCTGAGCAGTATATATGTATGAGTTGTAATGTTTTTATTATGTGTTTATTATGTGTACTATAATGAATGCATGTTCATTTGCTCTGATGATAAAGAGGACACTTAATCAGAAGAAACCAGCTCGGATGTGATGGTGGCAGGGAAGTGTCAGTTTTGTATTGAGACAACTTGTGTGCTGTTACAGCTCTGCCACAGATGTTGCATCTCTGGATGTTACTTAGTTCATGTTTCAAATCCGGAGATTTTGCTGAGGCACTGTAGTTGAGAGCCTGGTTGCCAGCGGATTCCTCTGAGAGGTAGGCAGCAAAGAGACAAGTCAGCCTGCGTAAGATGAGTCAGCTGCTTGAGCACTGAACAGCAACTTTGTTGACTGAATAAGGATCCCAGGGGAACTTATGTCCTCGCTTGCGTGACTCAGAGCTACGCGAGTGGAATGAATTGAAGACTTAGGCCATAACTGATAAGGATGCTGAACTACTGTTGCTTCTGGCATCAGGTGTGGGTGTTCACTGTTTGAGAAAGTCAGGGCAGGACTCTCCTTATCTTCCTGATCTGTAAGATGGAGTTTAACCATTTCAGTCTTAGATTTACGTCCAGGTCATAATCTTAGCATTGGAAATTAGTTTAGCTTTCTTTAGGGATGTGCCCCTATGATTTCATTAAATGGTTAAGTTTCATTAAAAGGTTAGGATTTCATTAATGTCCTCTCTAGGCTTTTAAAGCATAACAGAATTAAAACATGAGGAAAAGTGTATGAAAAAGAATAAATTCAGTCAAGGAGAAAGCGTTGTTGTTTAACAACTGAGATACCTGTGTCTGTAATTTCTGGCCTGGCAAATTTTACTTCTGCTCTTCCAGGCTTATGAAAATAAGCAAGAGAAAATTAGTTTTAAACTTACAAGTTAAATGATGTAGGTGGTTTCAAAAAATGTTATTCTGTACTGAGTATTTATACATCAAGAAGCCTCCACATAGCACAGCAGATTCAGCAGTTTTCATTCCCATCTGAGGAGAGGAAAGGCCATGAATAGCAGCATTGCATGGTCTAGGAGGTTATGTTTCGGTAAACTGGCAGAAAGCACGGGATGGCTTGGAAACACCTGTGTGCCTTCATCAGTGCTGTCAGCAACTCTGACATATTTCTCCTCATTTTAAAGTGGAAGGCACAGTATTTTCACTAATGAGGTTCAATCGAGCATCTTAATTTTTCTGATACAAACAAATACTAAAGGACATTTTTGCCTTTCAGTTCGTAAGCACTTGAGTCTATGAATTCCTCTATCAATGTCTTTGTACAGTGTGTCTTTACAGGTAGCCTGTTAATCATACCTTCAGAAAGATGCCAGTATTCAAAACTTGAGCACTGAATAAGCACCTGAAAGAAAGATGAATCCTCAATAAATATCCCACTTGCTTATACAAAATGTGGACATAGTTATATGAGTATTTTATAATGCAACAAAAGAGGCAACTTTTCCAGTTTATCATACATACACTGGGATATTTCTCTCACTGTCTAACTAAGTAGAGATGGCTTTTTTTTTTACTTGGTTCACCTTGTTTTCCTATGTTGATATTTGACTTTTGTAGACTATTGCAGTAGATACCTTTATCTTCAGAGAGGTTGGAAGAGTGGTTATTGTATTCAGCCATAGCGTCAGGGAGGTTGGAAGAGTGGTTATTGTATTCAGCCATAGCGTCAGGAGACAGCAAGACAAAAGCAAGAAAAGAGCACCTCATGTTTACCTAGCCAGATAGATGCCAGCCTGCCTCCAGGACAGTAGATGGTAATAAAACAGCTTCTACTCCTCCATGTTTTTTCTCTAACTGCCCCTTACCCCACCATGGTGACTAAGTATTGTGCTTGGATCAAGCACAACCACTAAAATTTAAATAAATTGAACAGAAAGAATGATATCACTGTGATCAAACCCTTATTATCTAATATTGTTTATTGCAGTCGCAGTAAGCCAAGCCATTGAATTATTCCTCTGGGACTGAGAAGGCTGGTATTTATTCAATATTTACTATGATTTGAAAATCACATTCTATATAAATTACCAGATTTAAGCTTGTCAAACAGCCATACCCTCTGGCTCTGCAACAGAACAGGTGAATGTTGATCAAGCACTTCTGGGTAGGCTAATGGAGCTTTCCAATATTGGCTACCTGCTGAAGCAGTTAAAAGATGCAGCTTTATTAAAAATGCTTTTACTTTTCCTAGTCATTTTCCCTTTTTCTTGTCACTGTCTCATGGATATGTTATCTAATGTAGGGACCATTCTGAAAGGCCACCTACTATGCCCTTTGACTGATTTTTGTGCAGCTGTCAGTGTTGTTGTGTTATTGCAAATAATTTATGTAAGATGCTTCCTCTCCTTCCCACTTTAGCCTCATATTCAGAAATGGGAGATAGGTCCGTGAAAAAAGAGAAAGGCTTGACTTGCCATCCTTGGTTTCTGCCTCATACTTTAATGGAACAGGCCTAAAGGAAATGGGCATTAACTTCCTGAGTGTTGTATGAAGTAGAGTAGATAGCCTGTTGACTCATTATATTGCAAGAAACGTGCTGCAGTGATCTCTCTAGAAATGATGTCACATAACTTCATAGGGAAAAATTTACCACTTGACATGTGGTGGTGGAAAACAGCTGGTGAAATGCTGGAGGCCCAGTACTACTGATGGGTTTTTGCAGAGCTCTTGATGAGGTGTTATCCAGTAACTGATTTGTGGCAAAATGGTATGCTATCTCACAATGGCTTTTTAGTCTTTGTTGCAAGTAGTGGGTTTGATTCTGGTCTCACTTTCACTGGAGTAAATTGTGTCTTTGTTGAAAGCAAGAGAGCTATACTGATGTTAAAGTAAGAGCTGAGCAAGAAAAGCCAGAATTAAGACCTCTTCTTATGAAAAGCTATAAAAATTGATCTTCTGATTTTTTTAGTACTGTTGTCAATGAAGTTGTTTCTTATCTCTAGCTGCCTGTAATGCGAAGAATTTGCTTTTTTTTTTTTCTCCTAAGAGAAGAGAAACGTATGAAATGCTTTAGGTGTTCCCAAACCTTTGCAATGAAGTTTTCTCTGGCAATCAACCTTAGACTCCCTTGTCAATCCTGCAGTCATTATAACTCAAATAAGGTCAGCAGATGTTGCCATGGATTTTTGTTTCTTAAGCTAAAGTGAATTAAAACTGGCAATTGTACCTAAGATGCTCAGTGACTTGCAGTATTAACTAGACAGTGAAGTTTTCCTGTAGAAATAACAAGTCCATGGGGACCGAGTCAATTACTTAGTTTTGCAGTGCACTAACCCCGGTATGATCCCTCTTCAATTCTGCATTATGGTAAATGTGAGTCCTGGCACTAATCATTATTATCTTTTTAGTCTGGCATTTGGAGCCAGAGGTTATTTATCTGGAATGCTGTCATTTGTTAAAACTCATTTATAATGAAATTATTATTTGAAACGGAAAATGGAAAGACAAATTAGGTTACCTGCATCTCTGTGCACTTAATTTTTCTGTTTGCATAGACAAAAAGTAAAAGTCAATTGCTAAGGCTCGTTAGAAGATAACTGATATTTCTGACAAACCTCAGGTAACACTGTAATTTGGAAGAGATTGTTTATTGTGTGTTTCTGTTTTCGTTTATGACAGAATGCAAAGTCTGGCGAAATCCCTTAAACCTGTTCAGAGGAGCTGAGTATAATCGGTAAGTGTTACAGTGCTATAATTTCAGATATAGAACTAGGTTAAAGGTCTTAATGTTACTTGTTCATTAACCTAACTCTGAGATTGAAAAAGAAAACAAAATTGTTGGCACATGCTGTACTTTTTTCTGTAATATGTAAGATGTTTCTGAAAGAAAAGACATTTAAATTCATTCTCAAGCGCCCGTTATTTCTTCAATTTTTGGTCTTACTACAAAAACCGGAAAATTTATGTTTTCAGAGCATCTAGCAGGTTAACATAGTAGTTCTGTTCAAATCAATTATAGCAGGCAACCTAATGAATTATATCTATGTTTCATGAAGTCTTAATGTTTGAATATGTGAGTTACTGATTTCCTGTATGTGCTCTCCAACATCCTCATTAGCTTAGGTTTAACTGCTATAGCTCTATCACAGTACAGGGAAATGCAACGTACATTGGTAAGGAGGTCAGCCGGGTGAACTTAGTAGGTTGTGCCCATCTCTGATGTCTAGCTTTCTCCTTTTCTACAAATATTGCTGAATGTGAGCTCATTTAACCAAAATGTCTCTTTGTTGGCATGTTTGCAGGTATACATGGGTAACAGGGAGAGAACCTTTGACCTACTACGATATGAATCTTTCAGCACAGGACCATCAGACATTCTTTACTTGTGACACGGATCATTTGCGGCCTGCAGATGCTAGTAAGAGACCATGTGAACAACCGTTTTTGCTAATAGGTTAACAGTGGTTTTGAACTGGCACTAGAAACAGGTAGTCAGCATCAGTTCTCTCAGGTAGCTTAAGAATGGCAAAAGTTTGGTCATGCCTGGAAAGCTGTTGCTGTTGGATGAATGACATTCTAGATCTGTACAAGTAACTATAAAATACGTAATTTGTGTCACTGTGTTTTGTTCTACTGTCTTACTGAGGTCATTCAAGGTACCACTTAGAGTGTGAAGACTTCCTTTTTTCCTTCTGTTTCTCACAGTGGCTTCAGATGTGTTCAGCTTAATTTGCCTCCTGCTGCAGTGTGTAGTAGCTGGAGTAACATTCTCAAAGTCCCATTTAGTCTGCGCTGAGACTCAGT